CTTTCTTGTACAATCCAGAGGAATATTTTTATCAACTATTTTGTAAATGCAAGTTTTTTAGTAGTTCTATAAACATTTTTAAGAAGAAGGAAATGCCACTTCATCCCATTCTTAAGTGTAAATGCTTTTTTTTTAAGAGGTGAGATCATTTGCTGGTTGTTTATTTTTGGTACAACCAGAAAATATGAGATGTTAAAATTGTGGGGGGCTTTGGATGGCAGTGTAACATTCCATGGGGAATATATCCCATGATATCCCATAATACATAGTATACTTAATGACAACTTGGAGTCATAGTCATGCATTTATAACTTGAACATTTTAAAATAAGTCTATTTTCCATGTTTTTTAGACACATAAATTAGAACATTGTTTAGTAAAATGTCTTCTTAAATATAACTACTCCCTCTTCATGGCTTTCTCTCTGTCAGAACTATGTGGATTCTGTAACATCTCTGGTCTTGGTAGTCCAGTTTTCCTAATTTTGTTATATGCTGTGAATGGTTGAAAATTTGAATGTGTAGTGTGCGTGATAGTAAACTGTGAATTAGTGGGACTTAATGATGTGACAGTTTATCAACAATTTAAGATATTGGTACTTACTTTGTTCTTTATGAAAACTTTCCTCCAAATTTAAAGCTGAAAGGTCATTGGAATTTAGAAAATAATTTTAACTACATGGCTTTTTAGATTTTTGGTACATGCATTAAGAATTGTGTACAGGTTGTTCATAATATCTCTGTACTGGCCCTTAAAACAACCAATAAAATATAAATCATGAAAGAATATTTTCATGTTTATTGATTTAAAAAAAAAAGATGTATGGCCTCAGACACGGTACGGATCAATGCTATTCTGTACCATTATACATCAGAATCAACTTAACTAGTACCACTATACATCAGAATCAACTTTACAGTAACAGATTCCGTATGGACTAATTTGATTTGGATGGTTAGTGCAAGCCAAGTATAGAAGACCTTTCTGGAATTTAAAAGCAGCACATGCAGCAAGTGAAGGTGATTGTGATGAGTCATTTGTTTCGAATCTAAAGGCAAATTAGCACACTATTAAAGAACAAGTCTGAGTTGTCCATTAAGGCCAATGTTCCTAACTCGGGCACTTAGTGTGAATATTAACAACATTAATCATATTAACAACAAAAACCCCAAAATCTAATCATAAATAAAATGGGCAAAAGATTTCAAGACATATTTTACCAGGACATTCAAATGGCCAACAAATACATGAAAAGAAGCTCATAGACATTAGCCTTCAAATAGGTGCAAATAAAACTCACAAATGAACAACTATTTTACTCCTAGTAGCATAGGAAACTCTGGTGGCCTAATGATAAGGAACTGCACTGCCAAAGCAAAAGCATTCAGTTAGAATTCACCAGATACACTGCAGTAGAAGTATGGTCAAACTTCTCCCATGTGATTTCCTGCTGTAAAATCACCGATGAGTTGGTGCAGACTTGATGGCAAACAACCACCAAACCTGCACTGTATGATGTATTATATTATAAACCTAAAGGTTGATGGTTTGAATTTACTACCTGCTATGAAGGAGAGATGGGTAGTCTCCTTCCATAAAGATTTACAGCCTCAGAAATTCAATGGAAAATCATCAAGAGTTAGAATCAACTCAAAAGGAACG